ACTATGCCTTGACTTTAGTCTGGCATAGCACTTGGTACCAGTAACAGCTAAGCATGACATTTGCAACATAATAATAATAATTGTGCAGAAATTAATTCCAACCAATTTAAGTCAATTTTCAAGCTATCTTAATCTTACAATTTGTCAAATACTGGGAATGGTACAAAAATATTTACAATTACTACACATTAATAACTAGTAAGTAAAATATTCAGGGCTGTGAAGAGCAATCGTATGAATCATCAGACTAGACCTTCCAAGTCACTTATTCCATTTTCCAATGTGAAGTTCTTTATTTAATACATTTTTTTCCCTCTCTTTATGCATGTGAAAATTTATTTATTTATATGCATAAATTAATTTTCTAGACTATAATTAAAATTTGAGCAAAAAATTTGGCAGCATTTTATAAAACATATAAAACAAATTGCTTTTTTTCTGGAAATCATTACAAATTTGTTTATTAAAAAACATTTTTCACCTACTTTTGGCCATCTTCAGCTATTACACAAAAACTTTGAGAATGGAATGTCAGTTAGAAAACCAACGAAACTGAATACAATATTTAAAATGACAAATATTTAAAAATTATAAAAATATAGAAAACAAATTTTGGTTGAGAAATATATCCTATTGTTCTTTGATTCTGAAGTAACTTTCTACAGATCTTTATCTTTAATGTTTTGAAAGAAATTCTCAGTACTGATAATATCAGCAACTAAAATAGTTATCTATAACATTTATTTTTGTAATATTTCATTTTTCAATACTTTTTAATATTTAAGAACAGCATTCTATTAAACATCAAGAAATAAAAATAATATAATAAACAAAATAATTTAGAAAACAAATAAAATAATAATAAATAAAATGCTAATACATCATTAGAATTTAAGGCATTACTTCTCAGTACCAGGCAATAGACATGGATATTCAAAAGCTGGATTTTTATATATTTTTGATGGAAATTTTTTCAGAGAAGTGTTTACAGCTATAAAATTATTTAGATTACTTCAAATACACACAAACACTAGTACTGAAATTACCATTATGACTATATATATTTATACAGGGTGTGGCATAAAGAGTGGATAATCCGTTACCTGCGGATAGGGGACATCACGACTGTTCAAAAATATAAACATTGTGTTTAGTAAAAATGTCATAGTTTTTGAGTTATTGGACATTTTCTATTTTTATGGAAAATGGACTTCTTTTACTGGGGTGCCTTAAGGACAAAGTGTACAAAGAGCCCATGACCTCAATCAAGCAGCTTCGGGAACTGCGCGGGAAATCAGTGAAGCAGGTATTGCAGGAAAAATTAAGCGATCATTTATTAGAAGATGTAGGGCACGTGTCAGAGCCCATGTGGTCACTTTGAACACTTATTATTGTAAATTTACAATAATAAGTGTAGTAACCCAATTGATCATTTTGTTTTATTCTGTCATTTTAATTAGATTCATTGGATTTCCAATTAGATTATTTACGAGCCCAATTCATTCATGAGATTTTAAAAATTTTCCTTGATCTTTCTCAGTAGGAATATTCATTGAATTGAAAGCTACAAATGCCATTTATGCTATTTTAAATCTCAGTACAATAGGCAAATTATTAATTAGTTTGTCATGCAGGTTATAGTACTTTTTTTTACACCGAAAAAAAATGAAGCAAAAATTTTAAATTATTTTTTGTTCTAAAAAAAACCAAATCTATGACACTAAAATGGCAGTTTACATTTGATAGAACATGTATCCAAGACTAGTATTAAAAACAGACTGGGAAAAATCCTTGATTTGTGTCCATGACATTGAAAAATGTGAATGAGGAAGTCCATTTTCCAAAAAATAGAAAATGTCCAGTAACTCAAAAACTATGACACTTTTACTAAACACAATGTTTAATTTTCTGAACAGTCACGATGTCCCCTATCCGCAGGTAACGGATTATCCACTCTTTATGCCACACCCTGTATAGTCATATTTTAGTACATTTTATAGTTTAATTACCATTATTAAGTGGCAATAGCTATAACTTATAACAGGCTCTTTCCTGTTATAAGTTATACATGTAATACATGTAAATAATACATGTAAAAATATGAGGTCCTAAGTTGTAGCTTGTTAAGTAAATCTGGTCTTAACACACATGCGTACACATGCAAAATTATATCTTGGATTCGTAAAATTTTTTGTTACTAAATTTTCTTGAAAAATGCTGATTTTTCTCCTTGATTATTAAAATAAATTTTTAAAATATTTTCAATAATCCAAATACTTGTTGTCGAGTTACATTTGAATTATAATATAGTTAATTAATGATTGAACAAATTAACAAACATTGTTTAATTTATTGAATTATTGTTTGAATATAAATTTTCTCAATGAGAAAGAAATTTATATTCAAACATGCCATCCATCCATTACACATAAACATCAAGAATTTATTTAATAGCTTAGTTTTAACCAAAAATTTATTTTTATCATTAAGAACCATTAAGAAATATTGCTATTAATCCACTTTGGAACAAGATAGTTATATTTATCATTTTACTATAAATCTTATTTGAATTATATAAATAGGATTTAAAATCAATGTTTTTTTAAAATAACTGCATAAAATGTTCAAAAAACAATAATACAAGATATTAAGTGATAACAAAAAAATGAATTAAATACAAAAACAATTTTCAGAAAACTAAATAAAATATTAAGACACTTACCTGAAAATGTGAATAAAATCAATCAATTTATTCAATTCTTCTAATAGACTTCTAATTAATTTGAGGCATAAGATATAAAATACCTAATTATTGTATTGTTTTCTATAAATTTCACCGATTTATTATTATTGTGATTTTTTTAAGCTCTCATTTCCATAATCTTTCAAAATATAACATGAAACACAACATTAAATGCAAATTTCACAATGTTTATTGAATCTGAAAGTGATATTTTTCAAATTTGATTGATTATCCTGAGAAAAGTATTTTTGAATAATTTCAACAGAACTCTCTCTATGCAAAATATTAAAGCAACTGATTAAACCTGACTCAAAACAATTGTTTTGAATACAAACTGTTTCAGTTTTTAAAAAATTTAAAATTATGTGAAATAATGTAACCAATTGTGCCAAATATATTTATTACTAAAAGACACTCTATATAATTTTTGTTACCTAGTTTAAAAATACTATTAAATCTGAATAAATTCAGATAGATAATGGTATAACTTCTCTACAACTTCTCAATAATTCTAAGGATATGACAATTTCAAAATAGAAACCAAAGTGAAATAATTTTATTTTTCAATTCTTATTTGCTAAATACAGTTTTATAAACAAAAAAATTCAATAAATAATAATTTAATTAATGAAATTTAGTGTANTGGAAAAATTGAGCCTGACGGGTTGATCGAATATGTTATTTCTGGTATACGTGACATACCTAGTAACAAAGTGATGTTATACGGAATGGATAATTTGACAGAATTTCGTGAAAAGTTGAGAGTGTATGAGAAGATCCGGTCTACATATTCTCGTTCGTTTCAGTCTAAACCGAATTTACCTACAGAGCATTGAAAACCCCAGCCTTATCGAAATAAGCATGACAGTAAAACTCTCAAATGTTTTAATTGTAATGAAGTTGGTCACATTTCGAGTAATTGCTCGTATAAATCCGAAAGTATTAGATGTTTTAAGTGCAAAAAATTCGGCCATAAAGCTAACGCTTGTCCTCAAAAAGAAATAAACAAAATGGAACTAAGTCATTTCTCTAGATGTAACAACAAAATTGAAACGGATGTTGAAATCCTAGGTGCAAAAACAAAAGGACTCATCGACACCGGGTCAGAAATAATGATGATACCAAGGCATTTTTATGATAAAGTAGGGACTTCGAAATTAAACTCAGATGATGCATCTTTAATTGGATTAGATGGGAATAGTATTTCTCCGTTAGGTTTCTTCGAAAGTGAAATAAAGATTGACGAATACCCTCTTTCCTGCAAATATTTATGTGGTAGAAGGTGATCTGTGTAATTCTATAATAATAGGAATAGATGTTCTGAATAAACTGAACTTCTCTATAACAAACTACGGATTCAAAGTCATGGGGAAACGAAGTCAAAATACTATTCGTGTTAATTATACTCGAATTTTTGTTCCTGATGGAAAGTCTGCGGCTGAATCAACACTCGTTAGATCAGATGACGCCTCTAGAAAAGAGCAGACGTTCCTTTCGCATTCCACTGAGTGGGGAGAGGGAAACGGTTTTCAAAACACTAAATCACCCCTTGTGGTTAGTGACACAAACGATTTCGGCAGAAATAAAAAAGAAAAGTTTACTTCCAAATCTGATACATTTCCGAGTAAGCTTTGCAATGAAAGCAAAAAAATGCAATCAAGTGCAGACATGGGCAGATTAAACCGTTTTAACCATGTTTCGTTCACCGACGACAGGGAGTATGATTTAACTGNTCAATAATGCTCCTCTGTGTAACAGTTAGATTTTTACTACATGGCAAATACAAAGCTGAATGTCTCTTTCTATAACCAATCTCTTAGATATAATACAGTGGCGTGCTGTCATTGGAAGCGGTGGAAGTGCCGCTTCCCTTGTATTTTCTAAAAAATAAATACATATTGTGCAATTATTTTCATATAATTAAAATTAATTTTTTATTATGACCGCATTATGTATCACAAGAATTTAAGAAAACATTGAAAGGTGTAAAGAAAAAGCATAGTTCATCTGATAAACTGAAATTAATTTTTTATGAAAAAAATATTTAGTATATTTTATTTGTAATTTATGAGAGATTTTTTATTATGTGTACCACTCAAAAGAATGTTTCTATACTATTTTATTCAAATATACTTTATTATTTAGTTATGATATTCAGTTGTTTGTTTATAATGTTTCAATCATATCTTGTTTCAATTTATATTTATACAATTAGTATATCATTATACAGCTAATATGTACAATAATGTTAATAATACACATTTTTATTCTTAAAATTTAACTCATTAAAATATCTAACTTCAATGTGAGAAACAAATTTTGTAGTAGCTTCTAAACTTGGTTCCTTCCTTGTTTTAAACTAATAAAAAACAACGTTCTGTAGTTCATTTATCCTGAATATGTTGGGATTTATCCTGAATATGTTTGGATTTATCCCTCACCATCCAGCCACCCTTGCAATTTTTTAACTAGGCCCATAATGACAGACAGGGAACAAAGACCCTCTTAGTATGGATGGAGAGAGTTAAAAATGTCACCTCATCATCAAACACTAGTATTTTCAACCTTGACTGTATAAAAAGTATTTACTTGCTTCTTATTCATTGGCAGCTTTGTCACAAATACACTAAAAGTAATACTACTATTCTTATTTGTAGCAGGTTTGTCTCAGATTAACAGAGGTTCTGCATTATTGGGGGTTCTATTGTATTAGTAATCTGTGAACTAAGTAAAAAGTTTTGCACTGGTTTTGTGTGTAAAATTACCTGAATAAAACTCCAAATTAAAAATATTATTAACATTTTATTTACAAATATCTACATATTGACATATGCTACAGAATACGCAATTATACTCACTTTCGCTCGCTCGTGAACATGCGATAAATACAATACTGGCATTTTTTACTATTAATTATGAAATTACAACCACTCAGGTTTACATGTATGATTTATATGATACATTTGGCAGCATTCAAACAGTAGTGTTTTTAAGTGCTAGAAAAAATTCTGTTGTTTGACAATACAGCTGAAGACAGCATGGTTCAGAAATGTTTATAAACCAACATTTTTGTGAAAATTGGTTTTTTAAATTTTCAAAATAGTTAAATTATTACTTTATGGCTTAAAACTAAATAAATTAGAAAATTCAAACAGTGAAAATTTTTATTAATATATTACAGCAGTGATGCCAAAACTAGGGCCTGGGGCCAAATTTGGCCTGAAAATGTATTTGACACACCACTTATGATAGAAACAGACCTATTTTGGTATATATGGGATATACAAAATATTTGTGGCCTGCCTACCTACTATGACTATGTGCAATTTGGCCTGCCAATTTAAAAGTTTTGGCACCACTGTATTGCAGTATAATAATCAAATATAAAAAAATTTTTAATATATAAAAAAATTATAGACTTCAAAAATATATTTGGAAATTATAATTGACATTATATATTACTACTTTAAGATGATAATATGTTAAAGTGGAAATTGTATATTCCTTTACTGGAGCTAACACTTGGAATGATTAAAATGGAAATTCAATTTAATATGTAAACATATTTCTTTTATATTCAAAAATCTGAATATCACAAATTTAATATGGAATAAGCACTATACTTTCAGTAACATACAGTACATTAAAGATACCCCTTCAATATCATAAATTATTTACAAACTTAACAATTATTTGGTCATTGAATTTACTGATGAATGATGAATAAATGCATAAAACAAATTCTTAATAATATAGTGAAATGTCTCTCTCTTCAAGACTTAACATATGATAGGACCGGGGGAAGGTAAATCACATTCAGAACCTGAAGAGAGTCGACTGGACAAGGTCCTCTGTCGGGGTCTGATGATAACTTCAGTCTGAGGATGAATGTTTTGAAACAGGGAATGGGATCGGATCACATAAGCAGGAGGTCTTTCCTCTGGATCAGCAGAAACCAATTTCTCAACAAGTTTACACTGAAAAAAATTATTATGACACTGAATATATAAAATATTAATATCAGATATTAATTTTAAATTTTTACACATTTCTTTCATTGATTCTTTTTTTAATAGCTGAATATTATGAAGTCTAATAATAAAATATTAATATCAGTTGCACACTTTAAATTTTTACACATTTCTTTCATTGATTCTTTTTTTAATAGCTGAATATTATGAAGTCTAATAATAAATTCAGATCATTAAACTTCTTGTAATGTAAATTATTAATCAATCAATCAATAAAATTATTCTGAATTGCAAATTAATAATAATAAAAATCTTTCAAATGTTCGATCTCTGAGATAAAAATAATTTAGGTTTATTAATGCAACTATGATATAAATATAAAATGAAAAAGAATTTCTATTTTAATTAAACAGTAGATTCACAACAAATTAAACTATTTATTTTAGCTAGCCAACAGTTTTTAATAAAGTGAAGAAATGTTTAAATGTTTTCAAGTTGAATATTTTACCATTTTCAGCTTAGAACTTATTTAGAATTATCTACAATAAACAACTCATTAAGATTTTGAACAAATTTATCATCATTTCTCAGTATTATTTTTTTTCATCTAATTCTCCAAAACAAACTATTCTTTCTCACTATTCCATTATGTAAAAATGTGCTTCATTGTTCATTACCACAAAATTCTCAACATTAGAGTTTTTCAGTAAGGTTTCTTAGCATAGCTTTAGAAAATTCTAATTTAAACACTTTATCATGAAAGTTTCTAAATAATCTGTATCCTGTAAGGCTAAAACCTAATATCCTATAAATCTGTCCCAATTCTTTATAGAATTATGATAGGAATGTTGTGTTAAGTGATATGGTCTATATTCAAAAAATTCCTGTACTACCGTGCAGTGCCGGCCCGAGGTAAGTTTTAGGATGGAGCGAGATCCTATTATGGCGCCCCCCTTGGTTGCCCCTAATTTATACCAGTGATGCATGCAAGGAAGTAACTTGGAAGATCTCGACAACATCTTAATTAAGTATCTGTCTAATTTGTCGATTGAAAACAGCCGTACTGGTTGGNAAGGTTCTGATAAGCTAACATTCTCAATAATGCTCCTCTGTGTAACAGTTATATTTTACTACATGGCAAATACAAAGCTGAATGTCTCTTTCTATAACCAATCTCTTAGATATAATACAGTGGCGTGCTGTCATTGGAAGCGGTGGAAGTGCCGCTTCCCTTGTATTTTCTAAAAAATAAATACATATTGTGCAATTATTTTCATATAATTAAAATTAATTTTTTATTATAACCGCATTATGTATCTTATTACAAATTTTTATACTACATATGAAAAAAACCGATAAGATTGCTATTGTATATTCAAATATTAGTGGTGGAATGGAAGTGCTGTATTGTCAGCTTCCAAATAGCCAGATTATACTCATTTGCGCATGCGCTTTACAGAGCACCCTCACCCAGTTTAACTGGTGGAAACTACACATGTATAACGCTTCCAACGATTCTATCCAGGACTGGTTCTAGACTGTTAGCCGTCTCCCTGCTAGATATTTGGCCGCCCTCGCCCAATTATGTGAATCACGAGTAGATTTATAACTTATCAGTAAATTATTATCGGTTGGGGGTTATGTTTTTATGATAGTTCTGTATAGTTGACAGGAGTTATCAAATATTTTAATGGATTCTTTATTTTTATTCTGCTCTCCCATCTTACATTATTTACGGATTTCAATGTTAAACCAGTGATATTATGATTTCGTATGTCCCATCTTTAAGAGGATGTAGAAAAAGACATGTACAATTCTTGTACAATGTTAAAAAATTAACTGTTACTTTGGTAGCATCATTTACAACTAAATTTAATCAATGAGAGAGATGCACGAGGTACAGAAAAAGCTCTCAAATTTATGATTTATGTATCCGTTTGTCTTTTCATTTTTTTCCAAGACTACAAGTATTCAAGTACAAAGTAACTGGTTTCAACTTATTTCTACTTAAGAAGTAAAATAATTAAGCAATTATGGAATTGGGGACATAAATAAAACCCTGATGGAAGAGTCTGAATTTTACTTAAACAAAAGCTTAACCGAACCAATCTCTAGCCGAGTATAGTGGGGACTGATTTCTTCATAATATTAGACATAGAAAAGACAGAAATTTTTCCAGTTCGAAAAGTTGTAAATTTTGGAAATTTCCGTGGACAACTGGTCCTAAAACAAATTAGTTAAACTTAATAGTCATTTGTTTTCTAATTAATTTAGATTTTTACAGCTATGGTGAGAAACATTTAAAATTTACAACAACCCTGTTGCATCCTTTGAGATATACTAGTGATGCGACAAAAGAGGCATTTGACATTAACCGGTATTGGCACCCTCAGGATTTAGCATTCGTGCATGCATGTACTGCACACCTACCAAGATCATCTCTGATTCCATCTATGAGCCACTGGTAGGGAGCAATTTTAACTAAGTGGATTGTTTTAATATTTAAAAAGTAAATAATATTTTATGTTATTTTTATATACATTTCTTCACAAAACTATATTTAATTAGAATTTTCTTTAAAAGTATATTCATACAATTGAATATTTTGTACCAGGTATGTATAATTGTATATCCAGCACACATTTTATTTTAAGAAATAAGTTTTTATAATTTTATTTATTTTTAATTTTAGCTCTTATATTATGGCTAGTGGTTTAGAATGTAATTGTGATATTGAAAATTTATTTCAAAAAAATTTTGCCTCAAGACCATATAATGAAAAAGAAAACATTAAAAGAGAAAAACCAATGCCTAAATTAAATATAAATGTCAACAAAAAAATTTGTTCAACATTTTCATGATAAAATTTATGAAGACATAAAATGGCTTTGTGGATGCATAAAAATGCAAAAATTGTTTTGTTGGCCTTGCCTACTATTTTCAAATAAAATTAGTGTGGAATAAGAATGGCTTTGATGATTTAAATAATTTTAGTAAAGCTCACAAAAGACACAAAAATTGTAAATCTCACATCGATTCTTTCGTAAACTTGAAGCAATTTGGAAATCAAAATAGAATTAAATTTAACATTAATAAACAATATAAAATAAATATTGAAAATTATAACAAAGTTACAGCTAATAGATATATCTAAATTAGTAGATGTTATCAAAGCAAGAATTGGCATTTAGAGGGCATAGGGAATCTATTGAATCTAATATAACAGAGGTAATTATATTGAACTTGTTTATTTATTAAGTGCGTTAAATAATCTATTAATTGAAAATACATTTAGAGAACTCTATAGTTTTACTGGCTTATCGAACAAACGAATATGAATGGACCCTAGATCGTAACTGACTGATTGCCCCTGGAAGTCGGCTTCTTACAGAAACACAGCTTCCATATCATCAAATGTCATGGCACACCACTGATATAATATGTACCCTAAATACCTGGGAATCACCCTTGATCGTACTCTGTCTTTTAAGATGCATCTAACAAATGTTGCTGGCAAGCTTAAGAGCAAGAATAATATAATACAGAAGCTTTGTGGAACCACATGGAAATCAACTGCTAACACTTTGTGCTGCTCAGCTTTAGGACTGGTTTACTTGTGTGCTGAGTATTGTGCCCATCTGGCTGAATAGCTCCCATACAAGATTGGTAGATATGCAGCTTAATGTTACAATGTGCCTGGTTTCTGGTACTATACAATCTACTCCAGCACTTTGGCTATCATTATTGACAGGAATCATGCCACTGACCTGCGATGTTTTAAGGCCCTTGTTTGCGAGTCCCTAAAGATAAGCAAAAATCTTCAGCTCCAAGTTCACCAAGACATTCCATCTTTGAGTATTAACCATTTGAAATCTCGGAATCCAACCCTTCAGGCATCTCAAGACATGGCCACAACTGATGGTGACTACACGACATTGTGGAAAAACCACTGGGAAACAGGAACGGGGCCCTACTTGCACAGTCTGTTCTGTTGTGGAGAAAAAAATCCAGGGATTTGACTTACTTCGCAAAACATGGACCATATTAAACCGTGTCAGGACAGGCCATGGCAGGTGTAGAGACTCTTTGTTCAAATGGAAGAAGGTTTCAAGCCTGGAGTGTGATTGTGGTGCTCTACATCAGACTGTTAAGCACATTGCACATGAGTGTACAATGTGGGCTTTCCTAGGAGACTGGAGTGACATACTAAACTCAGAAGCCGTAAAGTGGATAAGCAAGTTAGATCTACAGCTCTGAATACTCTTTATATTCTTGTGTATATGTGCAGTCACATAATTGTACAGTTTTATAATTGTATATGGATTTACTGTTTCTTATTCTCTTATTTCATTTCTTATTTTGTGTTACTCCATTTTGTTACGCTTTGTTATAAGCCATACGCTAAATAAATGAAAAGGTTTTTAAAATGTAGTAAAATTATTTTAAGTTAACAATGAAGATCTATAAAAATCAAAATATATTTTCATTACTAAAATTTGCATATTTCTTTTGCAATGATTAATTTATAAAATATTAAAAATTATCTAATAAAGGAGTAAATTAATAAGATAATACAGCAGAAATTTGACAGTATGTTGTTATAGATAATTTTAAAGAAATGTATTATATAACAATAAACACACTATTACAATCTACTTGCTATTTAAAGTAAAATAAATTAAAATATAAAGTTAATAACCTCCTCTGGGTACTCTTCTTTGAAATTATTTGGAAATTTCTGTTCTTTTACACCAAGCAAGGTCTTTAAAAAGAAAAAGTTTATATGATTAATTTTTAAAAATATTTTTAACCTATTAGAAGTTTAAAAAATACTTCAATGTAATGCAGAGAATAAAGATAAAATACTTTTGACAGAAATTTACGGAAAAAAGATATTGCATTTTTAGAAGTTCATTAATCTGGCAGCTAAATTGCTATTAAGTTATGCTAAAAATCCTGGGCAAAACTACAGTAAACACCTGGCAAATTATTATATGCATGTGGATCATTATGAATATTGATTTTATGCATAACATGTTCATTAGCATTTTTGTGGGTTTCAATCAATCCTGACATGGTATCAGTCTGAAAAATGCTTCAAACTGCTTAAAAAACGTGGAGAGCGAAACGCCATCGGCCGGCAAGACGACGAGAGCGGGACGAGACGTGACTTCGCGAGAGGAGACGATGGTTGAAGAAGACGCACGAAAAGACGAAAGACGTCCTACATTTGTTTTTTTTTATAATAATCACAATATTTTTTATGTAATTTGTATTCCTTAAAACGTTCCTGTTATCCAAATCTTTCTTGTTTCAATTAAAGCTTTTCAAAAGGCAAAGAAAAGTCTCACAGAAGTGGGGGCTCGTCCGGGATAGGAATAGGCTCGGATGTGGATTAGGCTTAACTCGNCGGTACCAAAATGAAAAATAAAGAAGACCTGAGAATAAAAGAGATTTTGGAAGAAGAATTTTTAAACTGTACGATGCAAGATAGAGACAAGATTCGAGAAGATGCCAAACAAAACATCTTGAAACTACAGGAGGAAAATCGTAAATCCTACAATAAGAAAAGAAAACCAGCTCCCAAATATCAGGTCAACGACCTTGTTGCTATTCAGAAAACCCAGTATGGGACAGGTCTCAAACTAAGACCTAAGTTTTTCGGACCTTACAAGGTTACCTCGACGATGCCTAGGGACAGATATGCGGTTGAGAAAATTGGTCATCATGAAGGGCCCAATGTGACTGTTACTGCAGCTGACCACATGAAGCCATGGCCCATTGATCTCGACTGACATCAAGAACTTTTCCAGAACATTTCTAATCATATTTTCTCTTTTTGTTCTTATGTTTTTTTGTGTGTGTTGTGTTTTAGTTTTCCAGTAATCTCTCCGAGGACGGAGTGATCTGCAGGATGGCCAAGCTGTGGAGAGCGAAACGCCATCGGCCGGCGAGATGACGGTTGAAGAAGACGCGCGAAAAGACAAAAGATGTCCTACATTTTTTTTATAATAAGCACAATATTTTTTATGTAATTTGTATTCCTTAAAACGTTCCTGTTATCCAAATCTTTCTTGTTTCAATTAAAGCTTTTCAAAAGGCAAAGAAAAGTCTCACAAACATACATAAACAAATGGAAAGTACACAGCAGTGTGCACTGATACAAAGTGTACAGCAATGTCTGCAATGTTTTTATTTTATATAACATTTAATTTTACAAAAATACACATCTGGTAATCCATGATTTTTGATAATCCTGTCCCACTTGGTCCTATAGATACTGGATTAATGAACTTCTACTGTATTAACTAATTTAATAAGAAATATTTTTTGTACACTTAAACATATCAAAATAATAATAAATTTATTACCTGAACTCTCTCCATATAAGTTTTCAGAGGAAAAAGTAATTCAAATAGAATTAAACCTAATGAAAAAATATCCACTTTGTGGCTATATGATTTTCCTGCAATCTGAAATAAATGAAAAAGCATAAATGTATATATAAAATCAACACACATGCTATTATGCAAATTAAAAATTAACACACTGAAAATAATATTTGAAAATTCCCTCTAAATAGTTTTTCTAATGAATGTGTGAAATTTTAAATAAATTTGAAGTACTGAAGAGACAAAACAGAACCCAAAAACAAATCAAACTGTAATTTTAAAGATAATATTTTTAAAAATGATCTTTTCACCATATAATTGTGTTAATTTATAGAAATATATAAATTTAAAATGTCTCTGTTTACAAGTTTTAACTTATAAAATAGTGTACAAGCTAATTAAAAATCAAATCATTAAAATCAAAATACCTCTCTATGTTAAGAATTAATTTATCTAGAAGTTAATATACTATTTTGTTTCAAATCCACATACAGTACAGTAGACCCCCCTATAAAACGGGTTCATATAGTTCAGATTCCTATATGATGGTGAAAAAATTGCGACCATATTTGTATAAACACACTAAAAGAGACTCATATAATTCAGTAAAATGTCATCACCGACTCGTGTTGTGACAGGATTGGTCGAATCTAGACCAATAGCGGATATTGTACAAACCGTTGAGTTTAAACGAGCAACAGACCTACTAAAAACCATTTATTATTTAACGTCCATAAAAATTATATTTATATTAATGATGTCTCCAAAGTTCAGCAAATTTTTTGCAAAAAAAAAATAATTTATCAGGAAGCGCACGGGTGCCATTCAATGCACCGCTCCATGATGAAAACAAGTTTAAGCAATGGCATCGTTGAACACGAGTGTGTTCAACGATGCCCACTCGGTAAATAATCCTACAAATTTTTGTTTATAGCATAGTTTATATGGATTATTCCCAAAAAATTATACATAGTTTGGAAATGTTGAGTCAAATTAGTCTAGAATCAATTAATTTTATGGAAGAAAACCTTTCCAACAGCCATAGTCCGTAAACTGCATACATGCCGGGCTGTGATTGGCTCATGTATTTAAGGACTCATAGAAAATGGAATTCATAAAATACGGAACGTATCTACTGTGTTATAAGGGGGTTGACTATACTTACACACAGCACAAGATATTATCAATATTAGGAAAAATAAATGTAATAAAAATTTTATAAATTATACACATTAAGCATATACACATTGATTCATTAAGAATATTCATTTAAAAAAATCTCAAATTGTAAACTAATTATTATTGTATTATAATGCTAAATTGTAACACAATTTAGCATTTTTAGTTATTTTGAATTTTTGGCAGCAAATTTTGTACAGAGAATCAGAAAAAGTTTTATACAGGGTTCCTACTCAAATTTTTGTTTTGAATTCCCTGACTTTCCCTGACCAACTTTGTCCAAATTCCCTGACCCTCACATTTTTTTAGTGTGGAATATCGACATATTAAAACAGCATTTACTGTTAACATTGAGTACATTTAGCCCTCTTTTTGCACAGTTGATATGCTTCAAAGACTGCCACATTAAAAAAATACAGTACATACATCCTGTAGAAAAATGTTTGATAGAATCCACAACTTCAATGTAATGAAAAAATAAGCAATTTACAAACAAAACACAAGCTTTTTATTTTATCATCATTTATCATTATTATTTGTATGTAAATCTAGTAAATACAAGGTAACATAAAATCAACAAAAATTATTCTTTGATAAACAAATAGTACTGTACTGTGCTTAAAATGAACTCTTGA